ATCATCTAAACAGCACAACGTTCATGGAAGCCAAACGTCTCATCTTCCCTCCTGAGCTGGCAATTCAAATCCTCCATTGTTTCATCAGTAGCCAGTCTTTGCCACCAGGCTCCACCCACCACCTAAATGGGTCAAAACATAAAAGGAGGGGGTATGAAACAGAAAAAAAGGAGGATGGTGGTGGCGCCGACTGAAGAAGAGGCCGTTCCCAGGAGAAAGGCCGTGAGGTCTTATTTAAGATGCTGGACTCAACAGCTTGGGAGGGAGAGGGGGGACTCATTCCTCACTGCTCTCAAAGACAGGCTTGGAATGGGGCGTGTGAAACACAGTCAGAGAACAAGGGCAAATCCCAGAAGGCAAAACGGAATGCCATCCATCCCCGCACAGGCTGAGAATCGCGGTCTGAACGACTTAGGCAGGCCACTGGATCCATTTTGGACCCGATGACAACAGGGCATCCACGTCAGGACCAGGTTACACTCCCCTTCCAGGCAGACAGAGTCAATGCTGTCCCTGGTCGCCCCACTAAGTGCAAAGGAAACCTGGAACATCTTAAGCCAGCCATCAGAGAAGGCCTCGGAGACTGACTGAAGGACGGGGGGCTCGGATCCCAAGAGCTCGGCGTGACGTCACGTGGGTCCCAGATTTTCTTCCATCTCATCAACCCCAGACAAGAAGCAGAAGTCCAACAGGCCATGGTCACAGACACACAAACAAACAACACTAACGACCCAGCACACGCCTGCACTCTCAAGTCAAAAGACCAAGAAAGAGCTGCCTGGTGAAATGGAAGCTCTTCAGACGACCGGAACTCTACCACAGCTGGGCACCACAAAATCGGCCGTGGCCCCCACTCCTCCCCACCCTGCTCTTGGGGAGCTAGACACCTCCACCCTCGAGGCTGTGATGGGGTGTCTAACACTGCTGAGCTGACGATCAGGAAACAGAGGTGACAGGGAGAAGACCACCCTTCAGGCTACCAGGGAGTGGGGGTTCAGATCTCTGTCGGGGGGTGATAAGCCCTCCGTCCCCCAAATCTTAGCCCTGCAGGGACTTTTAAAACTCCCTAAAAATGTAATCTCCAGGCCCTGGTGGATGCACCAGGGAATTCCATCAAATAACCGAAGCAGCATTTCCATCATGATACATAAAAAGAGCTCTGGTAGCCTAACCTGGAGGGAGATACGTGACTAAAGGCCACACCTCTCTGTGGGTTCAAATCCGCCAGCAGCTCCGTGGGAGACAGTCAGGCAAACTCCTCCCATGGGATTCACAGCCTGGAGGGTCAGCTGGGGGTCAGTTCTGACTCGGCACTGATGAGTGAATGAGGTACACATCATCTCTTCCAGAAAATAGGAGGGAACTTGCCTCCATTCCTCTTGGAAGGGCAGTCCTAATCTAAAGGTCCTCTGCGGTGCAATTAATTAAGTGCTCGACCACTAAATGAAGGCTGGGGCTCTGGGGCCCTACAGAGGAGCCTCAGGTGAAAGCATCAAGAAACCCTAACTGCTACCCAAGCAGATATATGCACACCCATGTTTACTGCTGCTTTGTTTGCAATAGCAAAGAGCAGGAAACAACCCAAGTGCCCATCAACAAACGAATGGAGAGAGAAGCTGTGGCATATTCACACAATGGAATACTACGCTGCACTGAAAAACAAGGAACTCATGAAATATACAAAATGGGTGACCCTGGAGGACATTATGCTGAGTGAAATATCTTAGTCACAAAAGGACAAATATTGCATAATGCCACTGTTGTAAAACGGGACTGACATTGGGGTTGAGGGAAGACAGGACAGGAGGAATGAAGTATAATGCACTGAAACAAATAAGGGAGAAAACTGTTTATATGAACGGGTATTCTTGTCATTACAGAATTCCAGAGTGAAGGCTGTATAGTGGAATGAACTTGGGGGGAGGGACTGCATAACAATGAAGGAGTTTTTCTTTTCAAGAAGAGTGAACTGAGGGGGAGGGGTGGGCAGGGAGAAAAGTGCAACAATGAATGACTGGAAACCCTAAGTCTCTGTAAACTTTCATTTAAATTAATAAATAAAAAGGAGAAGAAAAAAAAATCAGCCACAGAAAGTCCTCTGGAGCACAGCCCTGTGCTGACCCGAATGGGGCTGCCACGAGTGGGTATCAATCCACTCAAGTGAAGCCGTCCAGTACTAGAGAAGAGACGTGAGGCTGAGTTAACCTGTGGAAGGGGGGCGACCACTGCACTGAAGGATGGCAGCACAGGCTGAGAAATCAGACTCCCCACTGGGGCCTGGGCGAGACGTCTGGGAACGGCGGGAAAAGTGGTGAAGGGCCCCAGGACGGTGGTTCAAGATGAAACAGGAAACGAGCAGGAGGAAGTGTGGAGCGCATCTGGGCTGCGCCCCACTCGGCGACTGGCTGGGGCACGCAAAGGAAGAGCTCGCAGATGACCTGGCAAGAGGAAAAGAGAACCTGCTGGGCCTTGGGGTTCACTTACACCCACGGCTACCTCTTAGAGTCCAGGTGACACGGCCACCGACACATTTTGCTTGTCCCAGAAAAAATACGTAAGCGTATGTGCACAAGACAAGAACAGAGCATTTCCTTCCCTGAGCGGACAGCCTCACCATCTCCCCACAGCACGTTTGACCTTAAGCCGCTGTGGGGCCTGAAACACTAATAAATAAAAACTTAGAAGCATAGGGATGAAAAGAAGGCCAATTTCTACTTTTCTGTCCATGTCTAGTCCCATTGGTAGAGGAGGCAGGATCCTGAAGAGACCTGATGACTGCGTAGGATGCCAGACTGGAGGACACTGTCCGTGGGGAGAATTCTTCTAAGACAGGACACAGTCCACTGTCCCAAACCAGCCCCATGGACAGGCAAGGCAACAGGACACACAGACCCAGCACAGGGCTTTCCCTTACGATGAAAAGATTCATTAGACTCTTTCATGAAGTGACAACAACATAAGGGGGTATCCAGCGAGAGAACTCCAGGATCCCCACTGAAGATGCTCAAAGAGCTACAAATAACCACTGCATTCTTGAACTCTCTATCTGCTTCCCTCTTCTCTGCTAGTGTTTTTGCTTTGGGAGTCAATGAAAGATTTCAAACCAGAGGCTCCAAGAACAGTCAGAAAAACTCCTCCAACTTCTCTGCTAAGGGGTATACCCAGTGAAAAGCATTTTTTTGATCTTTAGTTCCCCAAATTCAAAATCCCACAAAGATGTGAACTCACTAGCTGCCCATGGGGAATGGACCCCCAGGCAGCTCCGCACTTCTGAAATACAACAGAAACCTTCTAATTAACATTCTGAGAGAAAAATGCAAAGGCGAGGACACTTCCTGGGCCTTCATAAACATAAATTTCACGGTGACAGGACAGTAGTTCCAACCAGCATCTGCTTGTCACGTCAAAAGCTGCCTTGTTTGGCTAGTTAAGTCATACAGTCTCCCCAGTTCAAACTCGTTTCATTCAACACCCGGCATCTCTGGTTACATCCCAAGAGTCAGCTGCGGGTACCAGCCACTGCCTCTGAGACAATGTTGACACCTTAGGACTTTCACCAGGTTTCTGAGGCTTATATCTTTACAAGAGAAGATGGTCCATCTTTCTTTCTCTCAATGAAGAGAGAAGTGGTGGATTCGAACCACTGACCTTTCATTTATCTGTTCAACATGTTATACATGCCCCTGGGGCTCTTGCCAATCTCAGTTGCTCCTCAGAGGACAGATGAGTCTCCTCTTGATAAAACTGACAGCTTTGGAAATGTGATGGGAGGCCATTATGAGTTGAAACCGACTCAAAGTGTTTTTAAGGTGCTCTGGTGGTGCAGTGCATTGAGAACCATGCTGTAAACCCAAAGGTCAGTGGTTGGAATCCACCATGGGAGAAAGATGGGTGGCCTCTTATCAAGGTTTCCTGCCAACCAACTCAATGGCAATAAGTGAGCACATGATAGTGAAATATTTCACCACTATCAATAATCATTATGCTGCAAAATTAAAAGCTATATATAAACACAACAGAAGGCCATTAATTTATGCTTAATTCACTGCAGTGACAAATTCTAACACCTGAAAGTATTTCTTGGCCACAATAAACTGCTAAGTTTAATTGGGAAAGACTTTAAAATAACTTCTTACTTAAAACCTGTCTTCCACTGTACTGAGTCAGAACCAATTGATAGCTGACCCTTCAATGGGTTTTCAGAAGCTGCAAATGGCAAGGGAGGAGACTGCCTATTTTTCCCCCTTGGAACAGCTGGTGGATTCAAACCACCCACCTTGGGTTTGCTAGAGCAACTCCCTATCCATTAGGCTACCAGAGCTCTCTCTTAAACAAAAAATTATCACTAGTAAAGTCAGATCTGTGCTGATACAGCCTGACTTGACCCCTTAATAGGAAGACACTATGGCTCACATTAGCTACACATAACCCAGTGACTCTGCTGTTAAGAATTCTTTGCTTCTGTTGTTAGGTGCCATTGTGTGAGCTCTGACAGTGGTCCCGTGGCCATCAGAAAGGAACGATGCCAGGTCCTGCGTCATCCTCACAATCTCTGCTGTGCTCACCCCTTTACTGCAACCACCATGTCGACTGTCCGTCCATCCAGCGAGGTTCCTCTTCTTTTGCACTGACCTACTTTACCAACCACGACATCCTTCTTCAGGGCCTGGTTCCCTCATGATGCCCAAAGCATGTGTGGGCATTCCCTTACGCATTCTAAGTCCAAGGCTCCATTAAGTGCTCATTGTACGTACAACGTATACCTTAAAGACTCATCCTCCCACAAGCCCCTTTTTAAAAATAACATTCCCACTTCCAACCCTGCTTCTGCTCTTTGAACACAATCCTTTCTCCCCGCCCCCCGCATGTGTGTACACACACACACACACACACACACACCCTGCTCCACTCAGCTGAGCTCCAACCTAAACCAAGAACCCGATAAAACGCTCCCGTCTACAGACTTATCCCTGAAAGGCCGCGTTTAAACGATACTCTACTTGTCCACTGGTGTCTGCAGCCTGCTGGAAGTGGGTGGCGAGCGACGTCTCGTCCTGGAAGACCTCGTTGCACTCCAGACACTTGAGGCTGTGCCTGCAGAGCTTGGAGGGGTCTTCGTCGAGAGGCATGGCCGGGACAATGGGTGTGCTGGAAGGAGCCGAAATGACTGTCCCCATGAGGCCGGACTGGATTTTGGCCACCGTGTGCGTGCCAGCGCCGGCCAAGCTCGGCAGAGCCGCCGAGGAGGAGGAGGAGGAGGAGGAGGAGGAGGACATGGCCACTGCCGGGGTGTTGCTCGTGGGGGAGGCGATCATCTGGTCCGCGGGGACCGGCTTGAGGATGAGGTGGGAGCACTGCATCACCACGCCCTTCTCCTTGTGGCCCAGGTTCTTGATGCAGTGGTTGCACGTGACCTCGATGCGAATGCTGCACTGGTCGTAGTGCTGGCTGAGGCTCTTCTCCAGGGCGAAGGAGTCGCCGCACTCCAAGCACTTGTAGCCGCGCGTGGGCAGCGTGATGCCCGCGCTGGCCGGGGGGCTGAGGTTGGGGATGTAAACTGGGACTGGATTGACGCTGCTCAGCACCTTGTTGAACGCCTCGACCACGGAGCTCTGCAGCGAGGACACCACCTGGACCCGAGACACCTTCTTGGGCGGCTGCGAGGCGGCTGCGTTGATTATTGCCTGCTTGATCTGCTGCTGAGGTTTGGTGAGCACTTGGCGGAGTTCGGAGGTGGCCTGGGCACCCTGAGGCAGGAGGTTAAGGTTGGCAAGGTGCACGGTCTTTGGCACGAGTTTGGCGTTGGCCAGGCTGGAGGCTGGCACCACGACCGTCTGCTGCTGGATGGCGTTGGCGGCCTTGATGATGGCGCTGCTGGCGCTCTGGACCGAGGCCGCGGAGATGACCGTGGCTTTTACCGTCGTGTTGTTGGCCAGCTTCAGGTTTATGACTTGAGACCCGGCCGTCTTCACGGCGGACACGGGGAGGAAGGCGGTGGCGACGGGCTTGATGGTGACCTGCTTAGGCGTCAGCTCAACGGGGGAGACGGCATTGGTCACCACGGCCGACTGCAGAGGCGCCCTGGGGGGAGAGGAGAGGACGGCAGCCGACGTGGGGGAGGACAGGAGGGACGTCACCGATGCCATCACGGACGTCGCCTGCTCGGAGGGCTTCTTCCCGGAGTCGAGGTCTACCTCAGGCAGCACCCTGGTCACAGTCCTCTTGATCTCCCCGGATGACGTCTTAATGGTCTTGATGCGAACTTTGGGGATGGCTGGGGTGGACCCCGCGGGGGAAGCCGGTGAGCCCTTGCTGCTGTTCTCACTGGACACGCTCCGGGGACTGTCCGGGGGCTTCAGGGATGCTTTCTTTGCCCCGTCGATGAGACTCTGGGATTCGGGAGACTTCTCGAGGGTGGCCGGGCTATCGTTGGCTTCTTTGGGTAACGGTGAGGACTCCCCCAAGTTGGTCGCCAGTTCTTTACAGGAGTCCGATGCAGCCTTCTTGGCGCTGAGGGCAGCAATGGCAGCAATGCACGAGGACAGCTTGGAGGATGCCTTTGCCTTGGACGGTGCCACACTGGCCAGGCCGGTGTCACTCTTGTCTGAGCTCAGCTTTCCATCCAGGAGCCTGTTTTCCAAAACCTTGTCCGAGTTCTCCTTCAACTTATCCTCCCCTTTCTTGACTTTGAAAGGTTCGTACACACTCAGGTTTAGGGAATTGTTCTCAGACTCTCGCTTGACGACTTTGTTTTTATCCAGGTTGCCTGAGGGGGAGATTCCCATTTTGCCCAGGCTCTCCCCTCCCAGGGTCTTGAGCTTGTCGTGGTCCTGCTGGGGCGCGGAGCCCGTCAGCACGTGGGACCTGAAGCTGGCCCGCATGTCCACCTTGTCGGGGGGATCATCCACCTCGATCTTCTCGTCGTCGTCGAACTCTTCAGCACTCGAGATGGGGCTGAACTGGCTGAACGCCGAGTCCTTCAGGGTCACCTCGGAGGCTGCCGCGTCTCCCTTCCCGGGCTTGGCCCCATCTTTCCCGTAGCCGTCCAGCGAGGAGGCCGACAGGAACCCGTTGTGAAGGCCGTTGCCCGTGGTCGGGTGGCCATCCTTCTCGGCACCCTCGGAGGAGTCGATGTTCCGCACGTTCTTGACGATGACGCTGACACCCACGTCGGAGGACGAGGGCGCGTGCGAGTCCTCGTCGCTGTGGGTGCTGGGCTTCACGTGGCTCTCGTGGTCATCATGGCCAGACTCAATCGCTGCCTTGGGATCGACCATGTCTGGGATGTCAAAGGCTGCCAGGAGGTCATCGAAGTCTGGGGTCTTCATATCCCCCATGGTCATGAATTTGATCAGATGTTCTGTTAAAGGAACAGAAAAGAATTCCATCAGCAATAACACACTGTTGACAAGGTAGCTAGTCCTGCAGGACATATTCCTACCCAAGCGGAACCAACGCGTGACTGGATTTACACGGCTGTTGTCATTACGTACCATCATCAAGTTGGAACCGACCAATAGATGACCCTCCAGTGGCTACTCAGAAGCAGTTCATCTCACTAGGAGACTGTCCGTCTTTCTCCTACACAGCAGCCAGTGGATTTGAACCACGTGCCTTTGGGTTAGCAGTGTAACTCCTTCCCTCTAAGCTACCAGAGTTCCCTGTACTTATGTTATTGTTGTTGCTGGGTCACATCGAGTCGAGCACACTTCATAGTGATGCTATGCACACAGACCCAAAGCCTGTCCTCCCCTGTGCCGTCCTCACACTGCCACTCTCCAGCCCCCTGCTGCAGCCATTGTGCCTGTCCTTCTGGGTGAGGGTCTTCCTCCCCTTCCCGACTGTGATGTCCCCCTCCAAGAAAAGCCTTTCCTAGCAACATGCCCAAAGGATGTGAGATGAAGCTTTATCATCTTTGCCTCCAAGGACCACTCTAGCTGCACCCTCTCCAAGACATACACTTAAAACTATGAAGGAAGGGGAGCTCTGGTGGCCTAGTGGCAAGAAGCTGCACTGCAATCCCAGAGATGCATGGTTCGAATCCACCAGATGCTCTTCCAGGAAAGGAGGGACAATCTCCCTCCTGTACCAGTCAGATCTGATTTGACGGTACACAGACACACAACAATAATAATAAAATTTAAAAAAAAAAACTATGAAGGAAATCTGAGATGAAGGGACAAACAGCCACAGAATGTACAGAAAACATTCGCAGAACTTAAAAAAAACAATTCCTCCAGCACGTTGTACGGTCTGACCAGGGCAAGAGCCCTGGTGGTACAAGGAACAAAGCACTCAGCTGCTGACCACAGGGTGGAGATCCAAACCCATCCAGCGGTTCCCTGGAAGAAAAATCCAGCAATCTGCTGCCGTCATAAGGCTGTCCACGGCCATCAAGTCTCTTAACTCATAAAAGACCCTGTCGGTGAGGGCGAGACTGCCTCACACAGTGGCCACCATAAACCTTTACAGAAGCAGACTGTCTCCTCCTTCTCACACAGAGGATCAGGAGGGTTCAAACCACTAACTTTCTTAGTTAGCACAGCTTAATCGCTGTGCTGTCAGGTTCCCTGTAAAGATTATAGCTGAGGACAAGCTCAGGGGCAATTCTGTCCCGTCAAGATGGGTCCTTATAAGCCCTGAAATTCACTTGACGGCATCTAACACCACCACCTCTATGGGTAGAGCTCCGACCCAATGACAGCGAGGTTGGCTGGAGCTGCTGCGTGGAGAAAAGCAGGTCTTCTTGTGTTATTGTTGTTGTTAGGTACTGCTGAATCGACTACAACTCACGGCAAACCTTGTGAACAGCAGCTCCACCCTGCACTAGCCTCACCACCTCGGATGCGCTCAAGCCCACCGTCGTCAGAGTCACTGCGTCAATCCACTGCTGCTTCTGTTATAATAAGTAGGAAATGGGCTCTTTATCACCCGATTCATCACACCGTTTTCATAAAAAGCTACTTCCAAAAACATCTCAACCGTGACAGCATTTAATTCCGCTAGCAACATGATCACTGTACGAGTCATTATCATAGCTGATTGTGTGCTGTGTTAGGGGAATACCACACTGAAAGAAAGCCATCACAATCCAAGAAACAATTACAGATTTCCATATTTATGCAGGGAAGAAAGAAACATCAAAACTCACCACAGGAAATCTCCAAGGAACAAAAGTTCCACCTGGGGTGGAGGGGGAAAGGGGATTAAAAAAAAATCCCCAAGACGACACTGTAACCAATTTATTTAATCATAATTTTCACTGCAGTTTCCCTACCAAAAAACAAAAAATAATCCCAATTTAATCCAAACAGCTCGGGGCAGAAAAAGAAGCACATTCCTGTTTGCTGTCTCTCTCTCTCTCCTCACAGCCTCTCAAGGCTTGAAGTACAGACACCGGCATCTCGTCACCACTCAGCGAACACAGCTACAGCGGGGGCCTTGCGGCTGAGAAAGGCTGGCGAGGGAATGAAACGACTCTTGAGGAGAACAGGGCCGGCCTGGGGAATGGAGCTCTCAGTGGTATCTGGACTAGATCAGGGGACGGAGGGAGCGAACATGATGCTCACGGCCCGTGACCAGAGATGAGGCTCTTCTGTATGGCGCTTGGCGTCTTCGAAGGAGGCCTTTCATGCCACCCAGCTGAGTAAGACAAGTGCTATGTGATGGTCAGATCACCCACTCACTATGGGGGCTGTGGTGGACTTTCTCGAACCAGGACAGGACCCCCAAGCACACCACCGGCGTGATTCCATTATTTTCAGACACAAACTACAATTTCCACAGGGGTTTGCAGTGACCTGGACATGGCTCAATGGTGCTCAAGAACTACAGCTTGAACCTGTCTTTATTTACCTGCCTGCCTGTCAGATACCTGAGGACTGGGGACTTTACACATCTTTACACAGCAAAGTGCCTAATTACTAACACACCACGAGCTGGGAGAACGACTCATAGTAAACCTATGAACAACAGATCAGAACTTTGACCTATCCTGTGCCATCCTCATAATCTGACACACTCCAGCCCACTGCCCTGTACAATCTATAAATGCTTGTACATTTCTTTCATACACACACACACACACACACACACACACTCTCTCTCTCTTTTTATCAATTTAAATGAAAGTTTACAGAGACTTAGGGTTTCCATTCATTCACTGTTGCACTCTTCTCCCTGCCCACGCCCTCCCCCCAATTCACTCTTTTCTTTGAAAAGAAAAACTTCTTTCATTGTTATGCAATCCCTCAAACGCTTATACGTTTCTTAAGACACGGTACTTATATTTGGGTCAAAATAATATTCTCCTCAGAACAGACTACACAAAGATCTGTGTAAACTTTAATTTAAACTTCAAATGTATCAGCAATTACTAAGACACTCTCAGGGAACACGCTCAAATACTTTTTAGAATCAGGTTGGGGAGAAGCACTGTTGAAGATGAAATGATGCCCTTCCAGCTCAAACTATCAACGTGTCTCCATTTGCACAAAGCTAAGGGCAGTCCCATATCCCCCCTGGGCATGTCCTCCGCATAGCCACTTGCCCTCCAGTGGGTGCTGGCTGGACCACACAGGGAAAAGAAACAGGTAGCATCCAACCAGCATCAACATTAGAAAAGACAGATGAGAAATCAACGACCATTTCCAAGCAGGCTCCAAGTGAGAATGTCCAAGTTTCAAAGTCCAAGGTCAAAGACTGTAATTTACGATCTTCTTGTCAATAACACTACATATTTAAACTGCAAAATGGGAGAATGAAAAGGCATGTGTCAGAGAATACATGGACTCCATTAACTTACTAATAATCACTGTTACGGACTGAACGTGTCAACAAAATTAACATGTCAATTTGGTTAATGCCTGATTCTCAGTATTATGTAGCAATCCCTTCATTTTTGTGATTTGGTGTTATTACCCTACGGGTTGTAAATCCTGATATTTAAGACATTAGGAGTCCTAGTGGTACAGGCTCCTAACAGGAAGGTCAGTAGCTTCAATCTACCAATGAAAGAGATGGTCAATCTCCTTTCATAAAGATTTAGTCTCATGCACACCCATGTTTATTGTGGCTTTGTTTGCAATAGCAAAGAGGTGGAAACAACCCAAGTGCCCAACAACAAACGAATGGATAGAGAAGCTCTGGTATATTCACACAATGGAATACTACGCTGCACTGAAAAACAAGGAACTCATGAAATAATATTCAAAATTAGTGACCCTGGAGGACATTATGCTGAGTGAAATATCTCAGTCAAAAAAGGACAAATATTACATAGGGCCACTGTTATAAAATAGGACTGACATCGGGGTTGAGGGAAGGCAAAGAAGGAGGGGATGAATGATGTATACCGCACTGAAACAGACGAGGAAGAGAACTGTTTAAAAGGGATATATGAATGGGTATTATTGTCATGACAGGAGTCAAGAATGAAGGCTGCACAGTGGAGTGAACTTGGGGGGAGAGATTGTACAACAATGAAAGAGTTTTTCTTTTCAAGGAGAAGAGTGAATTGGGGGAGGGGATCAGTGGGGAGAAAAGTACAACAATGAATGACTAGAAACACCAAGTCTCTGTAAACTTTTGCTAAAATTAATTTTTAAAAAAGGGTGGCTAGGATTAAGAACTGATTAGATGGCAGTAGGGTTTTGTGAAGATGATGCTGTTGTTAATGTTAGGTGTCCAAGTCAACTACAACTCGTACAGACCTTATGAATCTTGCCCTATCATGAACCAGCCTCACCATCTCCGACACCCCTGACCCCACTGCCACGGACACCGTGTCAATCTATCTTGCTGAGGGTCTAACTCTCTGGCACAGACCCTCCACCTTCCCAAGCATAATGTCCTTCTTCAAGGCCTGGCCCCTCCTGCCAACTTGCTCAAAGTATGTGAGAGGGAGTTTCACCATCCTTGCTTTAAGAGCATACTGGTTGACCTTGAACCTATTAGGAGGAAGACTTGGTGGCAGTTACGTTAATGAGGTCGGATGCAATCTACAGGATTAGGTTGCACCTGAGTCGATCTCTTGTTTGTGGATTTGGTTGCTTTTTTAATTTCAATAAAGGTTTACAGATCATGCTGGTTTTCATACAGCTAGTCAGAAACATTTTGTTTTATAACATCAATTGTCATTACTGATATAACTGATTCATTAATTCTATCGTATACAACAAAGAAGAGATTAAACAAGGAAACAGAGGTTGGAGGAATCTCAAAAGAACCAAGAATCTCAGAAGAATCAAGAAGAACCGGGAATGAAGCACGTCCTTTAGACCCAGGTCCCTGAGCAGTGAACCTTCTAGGTCCAAGAATAGACTGACGTGAAGAAACACGGAGGAGGTCAAAGGAAGAAGT